CGGGGCGGGGGCCGGGAACTCCCGTTACTTGCACTGACCGAGGCTTTTCCGCTTGAGGAGGTTCTGGAAAAACGCCGTGAAACCCGTTCTAGATATTCTGATTAGTGGGCCTCCAGTCACTTTTCTTTAAGAAACTCAAAAGCTGTATTAGTGAAACCTGATACCCGTCCTCACTTATTTCTTAATCTCCTAACACGTACAGAAACGACAATTACTGTTTTCTCTTGATGTAATTACATCTAATTCCTGAGAAGATATATCATATCTTCAGTACCATTTACTGGTGATATGTATGTCCTGTTAGATCTTCCCGTGTAAGCCAGATTTATTAAATTTCTGCTCGGAGGAGTCAGAGAGGAGGTCTTAACAGTAGACTCAGCAGCAAAGTGTGGTCCTTCTGGAGTTATTGTGCAAATTGTCAATGAGTCGCATTCTGTTCTTGATTGTTTTCAGACCTGCACAGCTCACCACTGTGGGGAAACGCTGCTGCTTGTGGATTCAGGACTTGTGCATGGACCTGCAGAACCTGGAGCGGGCTCGGGATGACCTGCGCTTTCGGGGTGTAAAAGGCACCACTGGTACTCAAGCCAGCTTCTTGCAACTCTTTGAGGGAGACCATAGTAAAGTAAGTGAGACAACCTGGGGCGTAGACTTGCAGTCTTTGCAGTTCTCCCCTCTGGAATGCTGTTCTGTTTGGGGGAACATGGAGATTCTGGCATCAAATTCACAAGGGCACTGTAATCCCTCTGACAGGGCCCCGTGTGAAAGTGAACAGAATTTGAGGAGAGGGTGCTTCTTAGCAAGTATAACATTTGTTGACAGTAAACTGAGAAAAGCAAAGGATCCTTTTTGCTATTGCTAACCTTCCTGAATTGTTGCATTCTGAGCTCTGTTTGTTTTGGTTTTTTTCTTCACCCTGAGGTTGAAGAGCTGGACAGATTAGTGACTGCAAAGGCAGGATTTAAGCGGTATGTAACAAGCATGCTTAGTCACCTAAATTTGGTGTTAGGAAAGTGTGACTGCTGCTGTCCGTGTTGGCCCAGATTCCCCCTACTGCCAAACTGACATCTGTGCTGCTGTTGACTTACCTCCCCTTGCCATCTTGTATTCCCAGTTGCAGCTTCCTGCAGAAAACTTCATCTTCTAAATCAGCCACTTCTACTTGTCTCGCTGTCAAAGCATGGCTGTCCATTTTTGCTCTGCTTTTCTCTCTCCCATCTGCATGCTGCCCAAAATTGACAGCCTGAATCCAAAGTTGTCCTCCTCAGAGCAGAATGACAGCCCTCCACTTTAAAAGCCATGTCACTCCTTGCTCAAAGTCTTTCAATACAGTTGTATGTGTCTGGAGCATGTAACTTCTGTGCTTATTTCTAGGGCTTATATGGTCACAGGGCAGACCTATAGTCGCAAGGTGGATATTGAAGTCCTGTCTGTGCTGGCCAGTCTTGGGGCATCTATACACAAGGTGAGCACCCTATTTGTGTACATCGGGAAGAAGGGGAAACATTTTAGATCTTGAAGAGACGGTGCTCATGGTGCAGAATGCTCTTCTCAAGTAATATTAATTGGTGTTCCTTGTTCAGCTGTTCTCTTTGTGATCATGTAAATTCATTGTTGGGTACATGCCTCATAATCAAATCTCAAAGATCTTAAGACCAGTGGCAAATAGGGCAAGTTTACTGAGCAGATTCTAAGATGGGTTAACAAATCCCACATCAGATATTAGTCTAATCTATGCTAAATTGATCCAATTAGAGTAAATGTCTTTCCTAGTGGTGTACGAGTTTTTAAATTTCACCGTTTGCTCCTAGTTAATTGCTTCTCTGATAATGGTGTTATTCTCTTTGTCCTTGTGGATTCTTTTCATTGATTTATCTCTGTTCCCTCCCTCTTCCTTCTCTTGGGCTAAAGTGATCTCTGGTATTTTCTTCTGGTTTAGTTTTGTAGGCTGGCTGGTTCAGTGAGCACACGTTATCTGCATTTGCAAATCACTCTGTAATTTTGTTACACATTTTCAGTGTTCCCTTCTGGTCTGTCTTCCATTCCCTGCAAACATTTGCCTTTCTTGGAGTTCTATTCTAATACAGTGGGCATGCCTTTTTCTTTATGTTTTCTTGACTGGGATTTTTAGGCCGGGAAGTATGATTGCAGTGTCAATTATTTTGTCCAATTTTTCACTGTCATCCCAGTTTACTTCACAGGCACAAACGCTTCTCCAAGAACTAACACATACTGGTATGTGTTAGTTTGGTTCTGTTTGTTAATTTCTTGGGTTTTTTTCTAGATTTGTACTGACATTCGTCTTTTGGCCAACCTGAAGGAGATAGAGGAGCCTTTTGAGAAAGACCAGATTGGTAAGGGATGGGAGACATTTCTTGGACTGGCGTATGCATCTTTTCATTTATGTTGGTGCAGCCTTTTAAGCAAACTTAGAAATGTCACTGACAGAAGTTGCTTTAAATTAACTGAGGTTTGACATTGTTAGTATTTTGGGTCCTTTTTAAAGGGGGAGGGAAAAAAAACAACACCTTGTATTTGTGTACTTCCTGGGTTTGGGGGCAGAGCAGAAGCAGTCACGTATTCCCCACAGAGGAAGACTCAGATCTGAGGAGTACTTAGTGTTTTCCATTCCTCATGAAGCTCACTGGAGCTGTAGGTTGTTTTCAGCTTGACTCAGCATTTTGGTCTTTATAAACAGACAAATTTGGAACAATGAAACTAGGCTGGACCCTTGCAAGAGTACCACCAATGATGTGATTCTGCCATTGGTGGAAGGGGAGGAGGAAATGTAGAGTTTTGGCTCTTGGCTGGAAGAAAGTTCAGGCCACCCTAAATAGTAGCATAGGATTGAATTGACAAATTAAGCCTTTGTTACTTGAATCATTCTACATTCTATGGTTGGTTTTGACATCCATTCACCAGAGCAATGAGCAGCAGTGTAAGTATCTGACTTTGAAGGACAATGTTATTGAGCAGATGGGGTTTTGAACACTGCTAAAGTTGCCATGGGTAGCCTAGAGAGACGGTACGAAATACTGCATTAAAAATTAAGTCATTTGTTCTTTTTGTGTGGTAGTATTTCTCCTGTTTTGCAGAATTGCAAAATGTCTTCTCACATTTTTCCTCTCCACATTTAGATGTTTCTAATCTGAAGGGGAAGTGTGGTTCTTTATTCCATTTTGTCCTTAGAAGATCATCGTGTCTTGAGGCTTTAATCAAAAACATGATTCCTGAGACATTTTTCTTATCGGGGGGAGGACCTTCATCTCTTCTTCCTGAATGCACTACTTCTGTGTCCTGTTTTCATCACTGTCTCTCCTTTTGCAGGTTCAAGTGCTATGCCTTACAAAAGGAATCCAATGCGTTCAGAACGCTGCTGCAGCCTGGCTCGACACCTGATGACTCTGGTGCTGGATCCCCTCCAAACAGCCTCTGTGCAGTGGTTTGAGCGAACGTTGGATGACAGCGCCAACAGGTTTGTTTAGATTGTGCAATGCAGCAATTTCAGAAGGTCTTGTGCAGGAAGGTCTTCTGATGTATTTAGAAAATACTGTTTTTAAACTAAAACCACAAGTTACCACCTTGATTAAAGGCAGTCTCAATAGACTCTAGAGACTGCAAACTGGTTTCCTCTCTAAGATCAGATGAAAACTGTTAGGTTTTTCTAACATCAAGATCTTTTGCAAAGTAAACCAGCAGAGAGAGGGAGCGATGCAGAAGCCATGGTAATAAATTGCTCTCATTGTCTTCCTGTTTCAACAGCATAATATAACAGTACTCACATTTCTCAAATTTTCCTCCCTGTCTGTTTTGAATGTGGTTTTTGACCCTGCTTTTCACTTCTGACAGCTAAAATGTTTAATTATTCTTTAATCACTTAACCCTCCAAATAATCTAAAGGAACTTATTTTCATCTCTTTGTAAAGTGTTCTTAACAAGTAGTAGTACAGATCCTAAAGAAAGAGCACAAACATTAAGTAATGTTTCATGAAAACCTGTGCAAGTCTTTCAGATACTGCTCAGCAAACTTTGCTTTGTTTTCCGATTCTTCATTATGACTACTTTGAGATAAGCAAAAGTTATCTATAATTATTATCAAGTAAATTACAGCAATTAAATTCAATGCCTCCATCTTCTGATTAGTACTACATTTGCATAAAGCTCATATTTACCTTTGAAATGTTTTAGTTTCAAAGTAGTCTTCTGTTGCAGAATTTGATCTAGAATCTTTGAAATCTTTAGATTTTTAAGGTATGGGGCTTGTGAAACAATGAACAACAGTAGTTTTGGCTGTAGACTAGTGTTAAGATTGTTGATGAGAATGTTATTTTAAAAATGTCTCCACAAACATAATGTCTGCATAAAATTTCATGAAAGCATAGAAGATCTTTTCCCAAAAGGACTTTACTCCGCAGCTGCTAGTCTTGTTAAGAAAAGAGCGGCATAGGCAGCAGAGAACAATGTAAATTTAAGAAATTAGATACTGGTTGATCTGATGTGTTTACTTCCCAATAGCTGCCAAGTGTTGAGAGATGTACTGGAATGTTTCAAATTTTATTTTCACCTCATTTAATAGAAAGGGTGATTCGTCCACTTCATAATCGAATTTAAAAATTCTGTGCCTTGAGTTTTTCTTGTTAAAGCTATAGTGTTTTGAAAGGAGAGCAAGCCAGAGAAAATGCAATCAACCTACAAAACAGCAAAGTCCTTTTGAAGACAGCATGATAGAATTGGGGACCTTAAATGTAGCACAAGGTTCAAGTACTAGTATATTTTAAAAGATCACAGTTTAGAATGGGCCAGGCACTGCTGTCACAGATGATGCTGTAATTGCTGCACTGTGAGGCAGAGCCTTTTGCCTTCACAGCTCAGTCCCCACTACTCCTCTTCTTTCCCTCCTTTCCTTTTTGTCGTTCCTTTTTGTCTGGAGCCTCCTTTGTGAACATGAGCTGGTCTCTTGGAGGAAGCCCCCACCAAATGCATGGGATCACTTTGGAAGTTCCCCGCTGAGCACAGCCAGGCACAGCATGAGTGTGCAGCGTGTCTTAATCCTGGGGGGGGGGGTAGGATCAGTAGACAGGGCAACATAGAACACATAGGGGAAGATACTCGTGTGTTTGCTGGCTCTGTAAATTGCTGCCCTCTTTCCTAGCTGTGCAATCATTGAATTATCTTGGAGCTTTCTATGTGTGCCTTCACCCTTTCTCTTCCTCTCCCCCTCTCTGTACTGACAACAAACCCCCCCAAAAAACAAAACCAAAACCATTTCCCTTCTCCCCAGCTTGAGAACTACTGCTGTAAGATGTTCTTTAGCTTTCCTGATTGTGACATTTAAGCAATAAGAAGCACCCATAAGGAGAACAGTTCCAGATATAGGACCACAGTAATGCTATTTGCAGAATTATTTACAGAAACTAAAGAGCTGGATCTGAGGTAGACTGGAACATGGCTTTTATTGCTAACTGGGGCCCTGGGTATGTGTGTTTCATAGGCGCGTGTGTCTTGCTGAGGCTTTCCTCACAGCTGACATCATTCTGAGTACACTGCAGAATATCTCCGAGGGACTTGTGGTATATCCAAAGGTAAAGCAGGAGATAATGTGTGCAGTACTGCATCCTTGATAATGCAGCAACTATGCCAAAACGTATAAAAATCCTCCCACTCAAAGGATTACATTTTTATCTGTTAGTTCATATGGTTTCTGAATTTTGCTCTTCATCTCACTGTATTCTCACTGGTTGCAGGACAAAAGTGAAAGGGTACTTGTTGAAGCCGAAAGGCAGTAAATTAAAAATTTCCCAAAAAGGATATTTTTCCCTGAACTACGTGATGGAGCTGTAGAACTTACTGTCAAGGCAGATCTCGTACAGTCCTGTAACTTACCTACAGGTTAAAAAAAATCATTGTACATCTTGTACACAGTAATGTTCCTTACAAGATACAGCTTCTAAATATTATCAGCTTCAATACTTGGATTTCCAGAGCTAAGTTCAAAAAGAGAAATTATCTTTACGTCATTATCCAGTCCTGGAGATTCAAAGGGAGAGGAAAGCTTCACCGGGAGTCCCAGTTCTCTACAGAATTCCTATAATGCTGTTTCTTTTTTATCTTTGTTTGTTTGGTTTTGCTTGTTTTAAGGTGATTGAGAGGAGGATCCGGCAGGAACTCCCATTCATGGCCACAGAGAATATAATCATGGCAATGGTGAAAGCAGGAGGCAACCGTCAGGTACAAATGCAGTCAAAAATACCTTGGTTCACTGCCTAGCATTTCACTCCTGAGAAACAAAAGTACCTGGGCTCTTGTCCTGGCCTTCTCACCTTTCTTTGTTCTCCACCTACTCCCATAGAGTTATTAATATTACACTGGTGCTGCAAAGCCAGACTCTGCTAAGGGGAGAGAGCAGTTGTGGAGATGCATATTGTCTCTTAGGAACACTGTGTGTTTGAGCTAATCTGGCTGGCTGTGCTGGAGAAGAGGGAGACCTATTTTTATATTAGATACTAGTAGGCGTTTTCCTTTTGTAAATGCTTGAAGGAACTTGGAACACAGGCCAGGCTTCTTTAAATGGAACATGTTGGCAGTTGGCTACCTTATAAATTAAAAGAATGAATCAGTGCTGTTAACAAAAAAGCAAGTAAGACCATTCTGAACCATTCATTCATGTGTCACTCTTCCCTAATTCAGTATAGTGTTTTTTATTAACAACTTTGTTCTTCTGAACTTCATTCAGTTTTCTGTGTCCAAGCAAATTGAAATTAATTGTTTTCCTTAATAAATAAATCCAGACATAATTAGCTTTTATTTCCTTATCATTTAATTTCACAATTCAGTTTAAAACTGATAATCAAATTTACATCTTAATAAAGCAGCTTATTTTCACTTACCTTTAGATAGTAATTTTTCCTTCTATGATTATTTTCACATCAGGGACAGAAGTTAAACTTGCAATCTACTAACAGTGGAAGGGTTTGCTAGGAGCTTTGAGTAGGATATGTGGTTCTAGTTCTCTGAAACAATTCTGGCAACTCATTCACGATGCTAGTCAGGAAACATCCTTTTTCCTTTTTTTTTCCCCTGTCTCTCTGATGTTTGTCACTGGGCCAGTCAGTAAGCTTCCTAACTAAGTATATTAAGGGTCACATCATGTGGATAAGTTTCATTATCTTTTCAGCTGGTTCTCTTTCTGAAGTGTCCCGTACTAAACACTCCTCTCTGTTTTGATTAGATCGAAGAACAAATTTCATTTGTGTTTGTTATTGGCCTACATTCTTTCTGGTGCTGTTTAACTTTATAAAGTTTAGTACATTTATAAAAGTTGTTCATATTCACATTAGTATGTTCTGTTTTCACGTGCGGGGAACTCCGGAACAGCACATTTTCTACGCTTTCCCACCTCATAGCATAGAAACTCAGCTCCTTTCCTCACCACTAAACAGCTCCCTCCCCTAAACACCCAGAAGGCAGATCCGTTCACCTGAGGCAGGTCAGTGCTGGAGCAAGATGGCCTTTGGATGGAGGAAACAAGGCCCAGGAGGTCATTTTCCTCCTAGATGAAGACAGATCAAGGGTAATACATTTGAGGAGAAGATTCTTACATTGCTGTAAGTGAAACCACATGACTGTATTTTAGGGCCAGCATGGCAGCATCAGATTTTGCAGGTAGTCCCTGACTACAGTTAGGTTCCCTTGTTTTTACAGATTGATTCCACAGGAAGTCAAGGGATTAGGAAGTCTTTCAGAAAAATTGTTAGAAGGCTTTTGCCAGTGTTAGTGTCATGTGAGAGTTCTTTGGGAGATAATGTCTTAAGGCCCTCAGGTTTGTAAGGTTGTTTTTTTTTCTTTCAGTCTGTCCTTACGTAAGCCGTGGTTTACATAGTCTCACTGCTCATTAAGTTAGGTTATTTTCCCTTTTCCAAACCTGTGGAGTTTTTACATTGTTATGCTCCCAAGAGGTTCCATACAGGTGGTGACTAGTGGCGAATAAGGAATTCCTGTATTTCAGTTCATAGAACATTTTGGGAACAGCTACTATAGTCTGTCTTTGGAAAAATCATGCAAGTAGGGAATAGAACAACTGAAAATCCTGTAGTGACTCCTAAGAGTATTTGGGGACTTTGAGGAAGTGTAAAGATTCCAGTGTCGTAAGTTTGTGGTATAATTGAACAGGGAACGCATGCGTCATTCAGACTGGTTCAGCCTCAAAGGGCAGATGTGGAAGAATGAATAAGATCTTGGCTTAATATAATGGTATATGAAACACTGCAGTCCAAGCTGTGTCTCATTTGCATGCTGTCCAGTGTAGTATGCTTTGATACTTCTCCCCCCAACGCAAGTTAGCAGGTTGAACATGTGCTGTCAGTAGCAATGGAATGACTTTTTTCTTTTCCTCTCCTCTTCCCCCTGCTCCTGCAGGATTGCCATGAGAAGATTCGTGTTCTCTCCCAGCAAGCAGCTGCTGTTGTGAAACAGGAAGGGGGCGATAATGACTTCATTGCCCGTGTCCAAGCTGATCCTTACTTCAGCCCTATTCATAAACAACTTGAAAGCCTGTTGGATCCCTCCTCCTTCACTGGACGCGCTCCTCAACAGGTAAAGTGGAAAGAGGCTACATGTGCTATGGGTTGTAATGTAATGTAATGTGTTGTTTAATCCTTCATCCTTTTGTGTGCTAGAGAGAGTACATATTATGTACCTCTGCCCATACTACTAAGGCAGACACGTTTTTCCCCCTTGTTTTCCTTGGCTTCCTTGCGGGCTTCACATTTTTGACCCTGGACGTATCAGATTGCTAGGTGTCTCTGAAACAGAGACCCCAGTGAGACAAGCAGGTCTGAATGGGGAGGAGAAGGGAACCCTTTCTCTTGCTAATTTTCTCTTTCCCATCTTTCTTGAACAGGTGGCAAAGTTCCTGAAGGAGGAGGTTCGACCAGCACTGATTCCATACCAAAGCAAGATGGGTGGAAAAATTGAGCTGGCACTTTAGGTATATTCTGTAAAGGTGTGTGGGTACAGGAAGATAATAAAAGCCTTATTGAACCAGGTCTGTTTACTGTGTCATGTTTTGGTTCTCTACAGTGCATTTAACCCCCAGAGCTTACAGACACCTTGATTCCAGATGGGCTTTTCATTCTTTGTCTGCTGTTTAATCAAGCCTCCATCTATTGTGTGCTGAGTTACTGAGAAACACTTGATTGTGACAAGGTAACTTTATCACAGTACCTTTCACTGGCCCCTTATAGAGCACTGCCAGCTGTTTAAAGAGCAATGCCAGGTGCTGCCTGACATTTCACATGTGACTGATTTGTTGAAGAGCAGGGGTAAGGGGAACTGAGCCCACTTCCGTTTCTGTCTTATTCATCTGCTCTTAAACTTTCTCCACAAGTGCCTCAAAAGATGATGAAAGGTTGTCCTGGCTTTTAGAGTACTGTGATTTGGGGAGCAAATAGGGCAAAAAAATAGGAATAATGAAAGGGAAGGGCCATGGGACTTCTTGGCTCATCAAACTGGTGGTCCTTCAGTGCTCCCTTGCTGGTTTAATACTGTACCTGTGGCTCTGTAGCTTCTGAAAATCATATTTATAGGTGTGGGTTAGGAACCAGCCACTGTGATATACTTTTCCAGGTCCTTTGCTGTTAGGTGCTTGATAGCAAATTGCAGGTGGGCTCTGGCAGGTGAAAGTCTGTCTCTACTGTGAGTAAGTTTTGTCTGATAGGAAAGAAGGAAGATACTGGAATTCATTGGACACCAGAGAAATTCAAGAACTGTGGTCTTATTTCTGACCCTGAATGTTCTGTTTGTGATGTTTGTGCTTTACGGGATATTCAGTACTGGACCAAACTCTTCTGCCCTTGACTTAAAATGGAACGATTCCCTTACCTCTTCTTCCTGTGCTGTTACATTACAGCCCATTTCTTTTGCTTGAGTGCAATAAAAAGCTCCCTCTTCCCTCTGTTGTTTATTCCACTCGCAGAGATGACATGATCAGAGTTACTTGATTCTTTTTTTTCAAGTGTGATTGCTGGATAGAATTAAGAAAAGCAGAACTAATTGAAAGAAGCTACGTGCTCTCCTTAAGGCCATCACTGTTTAAAGAGGATTTCAAAATACTGTATGTTTTAATGAGGCTTGTCTATATGAAGTAGTCAGAGAAGTGGGAAGGTTCAGGCCGTGATCTCCCCTCATGTAGATTGCTCTGGCTTTACCTTACCTCTGGACTACAGCATTCAAAATGTCGCAAACATTTGTGAGTCGCGTGGTGTTTAAAATCTTTTGCCTGCTCGTGTTCTTAACATTTAATTAGCCATCTGCTTGAAAAGGATAACTCTAATTGAACACTGGTAATTTTCAAACTATTACTCAAATGGATAGCCAAGAAAGCAAACAGATAGGTGTAGAAGTCCTCCCTTTTTTGGCGGTCTTTACTCCTTCGTTGTGGGATTAAAAAAAACCCCAAACAACCCTGTGCAGAGAAGAGCAAAAAAAACCCCAAACAAATAAAAAACCCCAAACAGCTAGCGTATCTTTTCTCATCATCTGGAAATACATCTTTGTGCCAGGTGGAGGCTGCCAGCTGCGAGGCGCTGGACTTGTTTTCCTGCAAAGTTTGAAAAGAATAACACTGACATAGGGAAAACGTCACCCTCCTAGAAAACTGCGGCACGATGCACAAATCCTTTCGGAGGCTTCTGCTCCTCTTCAGAGGATCCGGGTTTGGGACCTGACTTGCTTTTTTCCAGTGGGGGGCCGGCGGAGGCACCAGTCGCGGTGC